CATCTACACTATTGAAGTAAAATGGAAGATTCAAATGTAGCAACAAAAGAAGTGACATGGAACATCCACATGGATCCCAAAGTCTAGATGTTTCAGTTTACCATCCTTAAACATCCAATGGAGCATACCAACACTCAGTTGCCCCAAATGGCAAGGATATCAGTAAACAGCATCTACCCAAAGGAAATGACGTGGAGGCATCTAATGTCAAAATAAGAGAGAAGACCCAAATCTCCACCTCACTGTCACAAGAGAAACAATGGAGCATCTACTTGAAGACTGAAGATCAAGTGTACATTTTGTCATCCTTGTTACCCAATAGAGGAAGCAACCAACACTCAACTACTCTAAAGGGTGAGGATACGAGCAAATACACATATCCAAGAAAAATAAAGCAGAAGCGCCAAATAGACGCGTAGAAAACCCGGACGAAATGTCTATGTCTTTACTTGCCTTTGGAAAAGCAACACATAGCATGCTATTCTTGGCTTTTACTTGAGAATTATTCATGTCAATGGATTGGACCAGACTCATTTTCTAATAGAAGAGTAATTCAAGTTCTCTATCTTGTTATGTCTTTGGAAATTCCAAATGTTGCCTCCATTGCTTTGTTTACATGCATTGCCTCTTCTCCCAGAGCAACTTGAATAGCAACCTTCCCAACTGCTTCTACCTCTACCTATTCAACAACAACAACCCTCTTAAGTAACAACCAATCATTGAAGAAGCTCTAATTGATCTATGTCTTACAAGTTTTATCAAACACACTATGGATTAGCACTTCAACAAGTTGGAAGCTATGTTGCAAGCATTGCTTCAAGCCCTGCCACCATTGAGTTTCTTTTGTATTTCTTTATTTATATATATATATATATATATATATATATATATATATATAACAATGATGTTCTTCTCTTTAACCTTGTTGTTTGATGGCAAAATAGGGAGAAGACAAACATAGATTATAATGCAATGTTATGTTTTATTGCACATACATAACATACACATTTAGCACACATACATACTTTTCCTTGCTTAAATACTTTAATTTCTTTGATATTTCAATATCATTTGCTCTCATGTCTTCCCTTCTATTGCTCAAATATTTGTTTATGTTTGATATTTCATAAGAGAAGCTTTGATAATTCATTTGTTATGTTTATAATATCATATATGTCAATATTGAAGTTAAATAAGCACGTATCTCATTTTCTTAATTATTATACTCTTGTAAAATTTTAAGTACACCCCTAAAAAATTATAAGAAACTTCTTTCATGTTTAACTCACTCCTCTTAATTTTTTAGGACTTAACTCCTAGACATGATATCATTAATTATGATGTAAACAATTTTTAATCTCATTACAAATCCTCAAACAAACAAAAATTGGTAATTAACAGAGACCTTAATGGGTGGGATGGCTAGCTATTTGTCTGAAGTCAGCTTATGTATCGGTGTTGGTTAATGGAAGTCCCACTGAAGAGGTCAAGATGTTAAAAGGCCTAAGGAAAGGGGACCCACTAACCCCCTTCCTATATATAATTATGGCAGAAGGCCTTACAAGGTTAATGAGGGGAAGCTTCCATAAAAGGTTTGTACAAAGGAATCAAGGTTGGCAAGGATGAAGTTGATATATCTATATTGTTATATGTTGATGACACAATATTCATGGGAGAGGCAACTGTTAACAACATTACTTAGATGCTTTGAATTAGCATCGGGGCTGAAAACTAATTTTTTCAAGAGTTGTTTTGGAGTAGTGGGAATAGAGAGGAGTGAGGTGGAAAGGTTTGCTCATTTGTTGAACTGTAGGTTGATGGAGGTCCCATTCATGTACATGAGCATATCGATAGGTGCAAATCCAAGATTGGAGAGCACATGGAGACCAATTATTGGTAAGATACAGAAAAAATTAGGATCATGGAAACAGAGCATGTTATCTATGGCAACAAGAGTGTGCTTAATAAAATTTGTATTGACATCACTACCTCTATTCTATCTAGCTTTCTTCAAACTGTCAAACAAGGTAGCCAAACAAATAGTCACAATCTAGAGAAGATTTTTGTGGGGTGGTAGTGAAGGAAGTGAAAAAATCACATGGGTGAATTGGGATAAAATTACAGAAACAAAGAGTAACGGTGGATTGGGTATAAAAAATGTCACAAAATTCAATGTATGTCTACTGGCAAAGTGGAGGTGGAACCTATTCCATCAACAAGACACATTGTGGGGGGAGGGTGTTGTCTTCTAAATATGACTGGAGGAATATTTTTGGCATGGGCAATACTAGTAACAAGGATTCTATATGGTGGTGAGATCTACTTAATACATGTGGAGAAGAAAAACAACAAGATTGGTTTCAAAGTTCAGTGAAATGGAAAATTGGAAATGGAGGGCAAACTAGATTTTGGTTAGATAAATGAATGGGAACAAACTGTCTAGCAAATACTTATCCTACGCTATTCCAAAATTCTAAACAACAACACAAAAAAGTATCTGAGATGGGAAAATGGTGTGATGGTATTTGGAAATGGGAATTTAAATGGCATAAACCATGGTTTGAGTGGGAAAGGAGTCAATGGGAAACAATGCAACACCAACTGGGAAATGTAACAATTCAAAAATAGGTACAAGACTCTTGGATTTGGTTGCCTGAAAAATCTGAAAGTTATACAGTCAAGTCGGCTTATATATCATTTCAATTGTATACCAGCCAGCATCGGATCAACAACAGGTGGGAAAATGTGGCAAACTATTTGGACAACAATTGTGTGGACTATTTGGAGGCATATGTGTTTAGAGGTGGCAACTTTGATGAAGAGGTAATAATGAAGGATATTTTACAAACTTTTTGGTTTTGGTTACACACTTTACAAAAGACATTTAAATACTCTTTTCTACAATGGTCTTTAAATCCAGCATTATGTTTATTAAATGGGATGAAGGATCAGTTGTAAACAAGGAGAGTATATAGTAGAGGAAAAGCAAGGGTTGGAAAATATAAAATTAATTCAAAGTGTAGAACAAAATAGTCGACTAGTGGAAACGAATCTAAGTGTGGCTTGAATGTTTGGAGGATAAACACAATTAGGGTACTCTCATACTTTAAATATTTTGTAATATAACAATTCGATTATATAGTAATTTGCTCTCTAAGATGTGCAAATTATATCTAATCGTTTCTCCGATTAACTTTAGTCAATATCTTGTATATGGGTTGGATACCCTTGTACCTTTTAATACAAAAAAAATGGGATCATTCCTTACCCTAAACTAATTTTATATCATGTTCCACCCCGTAATTTCTACCAATACTCTTTACGAATATCACATAATTTCTTGCATTTTTGCATTGTTTTCCACATTTCTTCACTATATACCCGACACTTCATCTCTTATTTTGTTGCTCTTTCCATTTTATTGTTGTTTCTTTAGCATTTTGCGTATTTTTTTCTTCAGCTAGTTCACTGGTTTTCAATTTTATATTATTTCAATTTTCAAAGTGTTTGACATTTCTGTTATTCTTCATTAATCTATGTCGGATCCCATCATTATTTCTTCGTATTTCCTTTGTTATGTGTCCCGTCATGTTTATTGTCTACGTTAAAATTTGTTCATCAGCATTTTTATATTTTAATTCTTGTCCATTTTATACATATATTAAAAAAAATTATGTGAATTAGGTTCAAGAGTTCATCATGATTTAGAGAGGACTCAAAATTCTGTAAACTCTTATAGAAGTATTTATAAATTATCTACCAACAATGTTTAATCATGAGAATCGAATTTACATCCTTTTCAAATATGAGTCTATTTCTTATTAGGTGAAAATCTTTGTTGATAACACTTTTATTTCTATTTTATTTTTTGCGGTGTGCACTCCCGGTAATCTATTTTTCTTTCTTCTGAATTTATTTTTGCAAATTTAATACACGAAGGTGATCGCAACAAAAATCCATTCCTACAAGATTACCATAAAATCTAAAGTTAATAACCCTTCGAGATGGTCTGTAAAAAATCTAAATGATGTTAACTGAAATTTGCAAAACAAGAAAACTTATGATATTTTCAAGTCACTTATTTTAATAAATTAAGATAACTCAGAAACAACTTAGAACTAATATAAAAACAATTTAGTCATATTTTTTTCTTTAATTATAAAATAACTTAACATAACTAATATAAGATAAATACTTGTTCAATAATCAAAAAGTATTTACCCAAAAGTACACATTAAGAGAACGGTACACGAGAATTAAGAATGATCATGAATATCAAGTTCAGAATGTCTATTTTTCATGTTTAATTTTTTATTTAAAAAATAATATTTCCATAAAATATTAAATTTTGAGAATATTTACTTATATTTCCCATGAAATTATACTTTCCTTATTTGTGAGAAAATTTTTACTGTAATAAAAATATTCCTTACATTTATTAATTCATTTAATATGGAAAAAAAATTAAAATTTATTAAAGATAAATGTAATTTTATTTACTCACAATAAACATATAATTAGGAATATTTATAACAATATATTTTAATCATTTAGAAAAACTACAATTCCCGAAATCTATAATTGTTTTATAATTCATGATCTGAACGTGAAAATTTCCCTTATATCAAACACACCATAATAATTATTAGTGTTATTTGCCTTTAGAAATAATTATATGATTATTGAGGGAGTGCTATTACACCAAAATTTGTTTTTTATTCACTTTCTCATTTTTTTTCCCTCTCGTTTTCTAAACAGTGTTATTGCACCGTATGTTAACAGCCGGATACTTATTTAAGATCTCCTAAATTCAAGAATTAAAATGATGAATGTCTTAACAATTTAAGGAACCGACATTTAGTTTTAATAATATTAGGATTTACACTTTCCACATGAGTGAGAATTTACTGATTTAGGAAGCTTTACGATTTACATGTAGCATAATATTCATGGCTTGCTTATATACATAATACATCCATTGGATCTCCGACGCAGCTATATAACAGAAAAAGAAATACAATATTAGGTTCAGCCTCAATTTGTACAATGAATTCCGCAAATCCAATATTCGTGAAGAGAATATAGACGAGACGATTAAAATATACAGTCATACACTCACTTGTTTTCTTTTTTTCTTCGGAAAAAATACAAAGGTAAAAAAAAAAAGTTATCAACTACAAGTTGTAATTATCAACCCCCAAATCCCTCAGCGCATCTGTAGCAGCATCCTTACAGTTGCTATGTGCTTGCTTTGCTTTCCTTATGTATTCCTCAATTCCATTATTAAGCAAGATAGTTCTGTCCAACACAAGTGTATAAACAACCATAATGAGGTAGAGCCTATTTGGACACGTTATAAGCACTTTTGAAATCTTCTCTACAGGAACTAGAGAATATTTTTTAGTATAAAAACTCTCAAAAAAAATACTTCTAAACTTGTATTCAAACAAATTCATAATAAGATTAGCAATCTTCTGTGTCTAGCTATGCCACACTAGCCTTAATATATATATATATATATATAAGCAAAAACGAAGGGATTACAAAACTACAAATGGGGGAAAACAGAAAAGGATCACAAATCATGAACTTACCTGTTCTCTGGATTTCTCACTACTAGATTTCTGATCATAAGACAGGAGTTTCTCTGCATTTGGTGTGCAGCAGGAAATTTCTGCATAGCTTGAATGGCGAGGTCACCAGCACCAGCTTCAATTGCACGGGCTGCATTTTCCGGGGCTCTTAAAGAAAGCACAGAAATAATAGACATAATCTGTGCCACAAGTAAAAGCAATAAAATGAAAACAGGTACAAGATGCACAGATACATACAAATTGAAAGGAAAACAAGTATATCATGAATCGTATAGATAAAATTCTGCCCAGGATATGGCCTGATATAAACATTTATAAATGTTGACAACCATAAGATGATCAAGTATTTCACGAGTCAGAACCCAGTTTAACTACATTGTAAACCCTGATCACAGCCTTTAGACATTTCAACAGCAACCGTCAAATTAGTTTCATGCCCATTCTTTGGATTACTATAACTAAATTGCAATCCTAAAATGAAATAATTCAGTAAATGAGCCAATGATAATCATTGTACTTGGAGCGGGATGTGTTACACCCGTAGTAGTTTTACACTGGCTACCTAAACTGATATTGCAGGTTCTCACCTCTTGCAAAACAGAAGGGTCATCAGCAAATCTGGCTGAAAGTTTGATTAGCTTATCCATGCCTCCTTTTCCAACAATTGCACTCTTATTCATGTCACTTCCTGCTAACTGGTCAATTAAACAATTAAAAGGAGTCATTCAACTTGATTAAACAAAAATAAAATAAAATCATCCTATTAAAGTAAATGAGATGTCATACAAAGTCAGTCAACATCATCAAAGGTGAGTTAGTGGATAGCCTCTGCTCTGTTTGAACCTTATAAGTTAACGCAATAAAACAATGAATATGTTTATGGTCATTTCAGCTTTACCTACATTCCTCAAGTACAACATGATTCACATTATATTATAAATACAAATGTATGGATATAAATCGTATTTGCATTGGAAATTTATGAAATAATTTACTACTTGCTCCAGCTCCTGTTTCTATGGAAGAAGTTAATTTCATCAGCTACACATTTCCCATTAAATAGGTAACAGTCAAATTTTTATTTTTTAAAAATAAAGATGTAAGGGATATCTAGGACTAGGACACAAATAAAGCGCACACAGATCCAAGTGATAAAACTTTTAAAAATTAGACAATGCAAACCCTCAAAGAACCACTGTCCACTGGCAGTGGAAAACCCTATTATTTTTCTTAGAGAAATTATAAAAATAATAATAATAATAATAATAATAATAATAATAATAAAAATGCCTAGGTGACCTGTCCATAGAAACATTTTAACCTATACCTTTGAAAGCAATGAGCAACAAACTTTGGCCACAGCTTTGTTCCCTTGTTCACCACTGTCATCTATACATCTGAGTACTGCATCAATACCACCTTTCTCAGCAATGGATTTACATATTTCATCCTGCAGCATAAAATAAAAATATAACCCAAGGCATCAAGACAATGCATATTTGAGTCAGCACTTCAATTTGACATTGTTTGTAAGGCTGATACAACTTACCAAATTTAAATATTGAAAAACACTAAAAGTCTAAGGGGGATAAAAAACAAGACCTAGACTTCAAGCCTCCTAATTGACAAATCTTCCTATTTAAAGATACACATGCAAGTGTACCCACCATTAGCCCTAAGTTTAATTTCCGCTAACATGTACACATCGTTGCCTTATCTGACTCAAGGAAAGCAATAGCAAACTTAGCAGCAAGCAACTACCCAACCTTCGGCACCATACAAGGAGAGACAATCCATAAAAGCTGTTGGGTTTTCAATGGCAATTTTGAGACAAGATTCAAGATGATTATGACAACTTGTTTAGGAACAGTCAACAAAAATATCACCAAAAACCATCTAACTACATTGTTTTCATCCAATGATTCCTTCCCTGTGAACCTTCAAAACAAACAAAAATTTGCATAGTCAATGAATAGACTTTACTTCACTTACATTTACCGCAATGGCCTTTAAAGTGGTACATGCTGAAACTAGGTCTGGTGAGCTAAGCCCTGCACTCAGAGAATCGACAAGGGCTTCTGCAATTCCAATCTTTGCAAATTTCCGTGCATAACCATATACCTGAAAAAGGAACATACATTTAAGTCATAATGTATACAAAACTGAAATTAAATCGATTTTAAATTTTTGAAAGACCTGAATTTAGGAAATATCATGTTCACTATACACCACAATGTTTCTATCTTTACATCCTTATCTTCTCTATTTACAGGTGTTCTGTGAGTGTTAACGCCCATGACAATTCATGGGCTGTATGGTTTGTGAACATGTTTTCTGTTATCAATTTTACAAATGGCAAAAATGTCATCTTGTATTATTTTGCTTTCTATTTTCATTGTTTCCAGTATTCATAGTAGAAATCTTTGCAAACAGCACACAAAGTAAAATCAATATGGAATTTGTGGAAGAGTTTAATTTTCATGCCCGCCATAAAAAACATTTGGTTAAATACTCTTTTGATCCCTATATGTTCATAAACTATACCTTTTACCTCCAATAATTAATCATGTTCCATTTTAGTCCCTATATATGCCATTTTTGTTTCCTTTTAGTCCATGTATGTTACAGGGACAAAGAGGTAAAGTTTATGAAACTATAAGGATTAAAAGAAAACAAAAACAATATGTAATTATGTATAGTGATTAAAATGAAATGTTTTTAACTATATGGACTAAAGGGTAAAGTTCACGCAACTATAAGAACCAAAGGATAATCAAACCATAACATATTTATATTATCAACCAATTAGCAATCTTCTTCAATATGACTTTTAAAATAAGTATTATAAAAGTGAACAAACTATATATAACAATCGTTAATTAGATAACTATATATATGAAACACTGTTAATTATATATAACAGTGTTTCACAGACATTACACAGAAATTAAACTCAAATTTGTACACAACTAAGAAAAACTTATACTGTGCTGGTACATATACTGCTTGGGTTTAATGATGATGTGGTGTCAGTGTAAAAAGTAATCACAAACCACAATTTGTACCACTTTTAAGATAATTATTTTAAAAGTCAACAAACTTATCATTTATAATGGATTGTAATCAGTTGAGTAAACTGTTTTAGTCCATCACTATTAAACACCTACCACACCAATGTTTGTTGGTCTAACCGGGTTGCGATTAGTCCTGAAGTCTCAAAGTTTTGAGTTCAAATCTTAGATTTGATAATAAAAAAAATTTTAAAAAAATATGGAAAGGAAAGCCTTAATGTAGTCAAGTTCTGAAAGAGATTAATTTCCTACAAAGCCACCGATACCATGTACCAAAAAAAAAAAAAAAAAAAACCTACTACTTACTCTTGTAATTAAATTTTTCTAGTAATTATTTATGAATTCATGAAACACTAGAATCGTTATCTACAACCAAACAAGCTCTAGTTCTTCAGCTTATAGGAACACACATTCTGAAGCATCCGAACTTACTTGAGAAGCCACAACTCGAGCGTCATCCGGAGTCAAAAGCGCGCGAATGGCGTCATACAAACTCTGGATCCCCTTATGCAACGACATTATCTCCAGAATCAACTCATCAACCTTCAACTCCATGAAGGCCTCCTTCACAATCTCATCGCCGGTGGCCGCCGCCGCCACGACGCGGAAGCCGCCGCTCAAGACCTCCACGCGTCCCTTATTCGCAACCAGAAACCCGATCACGTGCTTCGGTCCGTCGCAGCGGTGAAACGTGCCCGTGCTGTGAACATCTGCAGTGCAAAACGAGAACGAGTCATCGCCTGAGAAACTCAAATCGGCGAAACGGTGGCGTTTGATTTGATAAACGACCGTGAAGCAACGACGACAAGGCGTTTAGAGCGGAGAGAAGGGCGGAGTCGGAGAGGGGAATCTCGGAGCAGAGCGAGCAAGCGAGCTGGAGGGCGCCGTTTTTGGTGGCGATGGCTGCATTTGAATTTGAATTTGAATTTGAATTTGCATTTGCATTTGAGCAGAGGTGGTGGAGTGTGTCGAAGGCTTGGGCGATTTCGTGCTGGTTTGGTTGGGTGCGGAGGTGGGTCAAGCGATTCAAGCAGTCGATGACGGGGTTGGCGTTGGTGTGACCCGGGACGCAGGTGACGATGCCTGCGAAACGACGGCGTTTGGGAGTGAGAGTGAGAGTGAGAAGGGAAGAGATAGAGAGAGAGAAGAGGACCTGAGAGATCGACGCCTTGGAGAGTGAGGGTTTGGATGGCGTCTTGAAGAGCCTCGGTGGGGTCCATGCCGAGGTCGTCGATGTTCTCCTTCACCAGATCCTCAAACGCTTCTTGCGAGATCCAACGCCCCGTCGTCTTTGTTGGACCCATCGCACTCTCTTCCTTTCGCTTGGAACCACACCACTGGATGCTCGACTGATTTAGGAAATGGAACGGACCACCTCCTGTCGTCCGCCGGGTATGCTCCTTTTTTAAAATGTGCTAGTAATATATTTGACGTAGCTTTATATATATATATATATA